TGCTGATGAGCTGCTAATCCCCGGCTGTCCCTCTGAGCAAGTCCCTGCACGTCAGAGGCACGGAAGGGATCAAGGTGTTGAGATCCTCACAGGTACAACACCCACGCTCAGCCGAGAGCCAGAGCCACGTGGCGACACCTCAGATCTGGCGATGAGAGCGCAGATAAGGCTCTTTTTGGACTGCAAGGAGTCCAAAGCAAACCCCCTCCCCTCCTCATCAGTTGGTGATGAAGCTCCTGTCCCCATACCAGAGGTGTTGGGTGTGTGCGCTCCCAAAATCACCGTGGTGGTGACGGGGCTGGAACCTGCTGCTGCTGTCAGGAGTCCTCCTCACAGCTAAAACCCCCTATTATTCCATCTCTACTCAGTGTCCCAGGAGGGTGGATCTGCTGTCAGGCTCCAAGCACGCGTGACGCAGCGGCAGGATGAGGCAGCAGCCGGTGCTGGGACAACTGCGGTGACAAACTGTCCCCTCTCCAGCAAAGGGAAATACCCAGGTGACTCCCCAGCTCATGTGTTTGGTCAGCGAGGACCCTCAGAAAACGGGTCCTGTTGAGGCAGGGGAAGTGTTTGGTGCCCTGGAGCTCCAGGGTAGGGGCTTGGTGGCCTCCAAAACGCACCTTTGCAAACAAGAAGGGTTTCGAGACTTTACTCGCTCCAGTTTGGAGGTTTGGGGGACCCCTGGAAGCTGGAGCTGAGCACAGACCTCTCTTCTCCTTTTAACAGCTCTTTTCACCTTGGGCTCCTGAAAGGACGAGGGGAAATGTCCCCCCTGTCTCTGTCACCCTCACAGTGTCATCTGAAATGGGGTCTCCAAAGCACTGAACTCCATCTGAGGAGGCATCTCCAGCCTGTTGAGCCTTTCCCAGCAGGAAAGGACACACTGGACATACTCCTGCTCCCCATCCAGCTCTCCCTCTTGCCAGTCCTTGAGGAAATCCCCCCTTCCCCAAAATTCTCTGGGACTCTGCTCCTTCACCTTTGTCCTCCCATCACTCTCTGGCCCAAACTCGCCCCAGTCTCCACCCCTCAGCGTCTTCTCTGTCTCCACTCTCTGCTGAGCACCCAAGAAGCTCCATTTCATCAGAAACCCATCAGGGAGCCCCCACATCAGAACCCAAGAAGCCTTTTGGCCCCGTTTGAGGGCAAGACTCCCGGAAGCGAATCATTAAACAGAATCACAAACTGCCCTGCAGAAAGTGGTTGAGGCATCTCCTCCCCATCACCCCTGTGCTGCAAGTGAGTCAAAGAAGGAGGCAGCCAGAGCCAAGCTCCCTGTAAATAAACCTCTCAGCATTCCTCAGGGTGTCCTCACTTCCCTCGGGAGCGCGATGTGCACAATATAAAAGCTCACCCATCCCGGGGCTCCTCATTCACCCAGCATCGCCCAGTTCCCGGATCCACCCAAGGTAAGGCCCTCGATACGGAAAATTTTGGACCCCCTCCCAAAGCAGGGAGATGCCTTTTTGAGGGTTCTTCGAACGGGGGAGATTGTGGTGGCTCCACAAACCCAACAGAGCCGCCCTTCCTTAGAGGGGGCAGTCGCAGCCCGACGCTCTGAGGGCTGAATTTTCGGCTGCTGGGAGCGTTGGGCGTCCAGAGGGGACCTCCAGCAGGACCAGACGTTTCAGGCTGCCAGCTGGGAGCGTGTCAGAGCGTGTGTGCACACCTTGGGAAGCGCTGACGGTCTCCCTGCTCACTGAGAGCGTTTCTGTAGCTGTCGTGACCCGCAGGGCACTCCCTGGGAGCTCTTCCTGGTGCCTCACCGGGGTGAAGGGGTTTAAAGCTCCAGGAACGGGGCAAAAGGGGCGTTTCCTGGGGCCTCTCTTCCATTTATTTAATTTTTGGGGGAATCTGCTGTGAAGGCTCAGCCGCATCTCCGGGGTTTTCCTTCCCTTGCAGGTCCACAGCTCAGAGATGTGCTCCAGACAAAGCTCCGGAGGCTGCCACGGGATGTCCTCCCAGTCCAGCGGCTGCCACAGCGGGGGCTCCTCGTGCCACGGCGGGGGCTCCTCGGGCTACCAGTCCCAGGGCTCCTCCTGCTGCTCCGGGGAACCAGCCAAGATCATCGTCAGCTCCGGGGGTGGAGGAGGCGGATCCTGCTGCAGCGGGGGCTACGGCACGGGAGGAGGATACGGCGGAGGGTCTTCGGGAGGGAAAGTCATCGTTGCAGGAGGGAGCAGTGGAGGCTCCTCCGGGTGCTGCAGCGGAGGATCCAGTGGGGGCTATGGCATGGGAGGAGGATATGGTGGTGGGTCTTCAGGAGCCAAGGTCATAGTTGGAGGTGGAGGTTCCAGCGGAGGATGTTCAGGCGGATCTTCGAAGGGCATCATCGTGGGGGGAGGTTCCTCTGGATGTGGAGGATCCAGCTGCGGGATGGGAGGAGGATACGGGGGTGGTTATGGGGGTGGCTCCTCAGGGTCCAAGACCATCGTTGTAGGAGGGTCCTGTGGTGGCTCCGGCATGGGAGGAGGATACGGGGGTGGATATTCGGGGTCCAAGAGCATCATTGGAGGTGGGAGCAGCGGGTGCTGCAGTGGGGGCTCCTCAGGCTACGGCATGGGAGGAGGATATGGTGGATATTCAGGATCCAAGAGCATCATCGGAGGGGGGAGCAGTGGAGGTTCCTCTGGATGGTGCAGCGGAGGTTCCTCGGGATACGGGATGGGAGGAGGATACGGTGGAGGTTGTGGGGGTGGATCTTCAAAGAGCATCGTTGTGGGAGGAGGCTCCTCTGGGTACTGTGGTGGAGGGTCCAGCTATGGGATGGGAGGAGGATACGGTGGGGGATCTTCAGGATCGAAGACCATCATTGTAGGAGGAGGCAGCGGAGGCTCCTCTGGGTACTGTGGTGGAGGATCCAGTGGCGGGTACGGCATGGGAGGAGGATGTGGTGGGGGCTCCTCAGGAGGGAAAATCATCATGGGAGGTGGTGGAGGATCCTCTGGATGCTGTGGGGGATCCAGTGGGGGCTCCTCTGGCCAGACCATCATCATCAGCTCTGGAGGGTCCTCCCAGCAGAAGTGCCCCATCGCCATCCCCAGCGTCGTGTCCCACCAGGCCAAGCAGAGCTGCTACTTCCCCTCTGGCCAGAAGTAAAAGCTCCAGGTCCAGCAGGACCAGCTGAGGCTCTGCTGGGGCACCTCTGCACCCCCAGACCCTGCTCTGATTGCCTGGTCCTTCCCTTGTGTCCTCTCCTCTTCCCTGGATGCTGCACCTGGATGCTGAGAACCCCAGGACTTCCCTGGTTGCCCTGCTGCTGGTGTTGGGAGGCCTCTGATAACATTGTGCTGCTTTTTATATCTAATAAATATTATAATAGCTCAAAACTGCCTTTTTTTGTGGGAATTTTAGTTATTTCTCATGGTACCAACCATCATCTCCTGGTCTTAGAAGGTAGAAATCCACCTGATGAGCTGTTTCACTCCTCGTAGAGGAGATGATGATGGGCTCAGCAGTGCTTTGCTGTAGATCAAGCATTAAAGTCACCCAGTTTATTGCCCCAGAGTGTTTGGGACCTTTCATTTTCCACCTGGCAGAGGAAGAGCAGAGCCCAGAACGCCAAATAACCACAGCATCCAACGGCCCTTTGGTGGCACAGCCACCCCCAGCCCACGGTTCCACCCCAGGAGGAGGGAGGTTTGGAGTCCCCACCCCTGGAGGTGCCCAGGGAAGGACTGGAAGTGGCACTGAGTGCTCTGGGCTGGGGGACAAGGTGGGGATGGGGGCACAGGCTGGGCTGGATGATCCAGGAGATCTTTTCCAACCTCGGGGATTCTGGGAATCCACGATGTGTTCCCAGAGGGAAACCCCACACACCCAGGGCTGTAAAGGGAACTAAAACCAGCAGCAAGTCCCTTCAGGCAGCTCAGCACCACGCTCCAGAAGATGCCTCCAGGCCTCAAATCCCTCCCTGCCCCGGGGAATTTCACAACCTGCTGTGGCAGCACCACCCCCCTCCTTGTGCAAGGCTTTCTGTCCCCACAGCAAAAATTCCTTGGAGCTGGGCAGGCCTGGTCCAAACTCCACGAGCTGGGGATGCCAGCGTGGATCTGCAACCCTCCAGACCACCCTTCCTTTCCAAGGCAGAAGGAGGATATGGAAAAAAAAGGAGGAAGGGCCAGGCATTTTGGAGGCACTATCCTTCCCTAAAACACCCTCCAGCCACGCTGGGTTCAAGTAGTAGGACAACTCTCACCTCCACAGTTCTGCCATGAATTTTCCTGAGCATCTCTAGCGCCCTTGTAAAATTCCTGATTCAGGGAATCAATCCCTTCTGGTGACCTCCTGGTTTGGATGTAAGGGCTTCTTCCCTTTGGGGAAGTCTCACCCCGGAGCTGCTGGATGGGGTCAAAGTGCCACCAGATGCTCCCCTGCCCTCTGCCCCACACTCCTTAATCCTTTCGCATTCCCCTGCACCCACCCACCCACTCACATTCCCTCCCACCTCCCCTGGGTCTCCTCCACCTCTCTGGGGGCCGGAATGTTCCTCCAACAGCCCGGGGCACGAACAAGCTCATTAGGCAGGAGTAACAATTACTTCGTGAAGGGAGATATGGATCGTTGCCATGACTCAAAGCAAACACTTTGAAATCCCAATTTGATAGGTAAATAATCCTTATCATTCCCGAGGGTGTCTCACTTCCCATATATGTTAAACACCATATAAATGTTCCCGAGGCTGGCAAAGCTCCTCACTCAGGTCGACTTTTACCTTCTAAATGTGTTTCCGATGGCTCAAGAGGGTAAGTCTGATTTTTATTGCTTGAGATTTTATTTTAATTCACGTTCCTGGGAGGCACCCTCCTTTGGGGCCCTGAGCTGGGCTTGCAGCAGGACCCCTCTGCCCCAGCGAAGTCCTCAGGATCTGAGCAGTTTTCTTCTGGATGGATCAAAAAACCCTCGGGGAGAAATCCAGTCCCCGGACTGGGAGCCAGAAGGCAAAACCCAGATTAGCCTGTGGTGGGACCAGCACGTGGTGACTGCACAGCCTTTGTGGGTTTGAACGTGGTTTGCAAAGCCTGGCACCCGTTTTTGATATTATTTAATAACAAGCTCTGCTTCATGATGGCCACAAACCTCTATGCCTGGGGCCAATTACCTTCCCTAAAAGACCTTTTTGGGGGGGGGTGCAATAGCAGAGCCAGAAACGTAATTTGGAGTGGAAACTTTGATCCACTGCTCCTACAACGGATTGAAAACACGAAAAAGGATAATCCTGGCTGTTATTTTGCAGCTCTGCAGCTGCAGGCATGGATGGAGGTGAGTGGGGAAAGCCATGGCAGTTCTTAGATGGTAAAAGAATTTTGGTTCTCTGGAAATACACCCTGGAGATAAAAAGGAGTGAAGCTATCCCAGGGAGAGTCCAGCTACCCTTGGATTTGAAGAACAGGGGCTTGGAGCAACCTGGTCGAGGGAAGGTGTCCCTGCCCGTGGCAGGGGGTTGGAGGGAGCTGATTTTTAAGGTCCCCTCCAACCCAAACCATTCCATGTTCTCTCAGAGTTGGGCAATTTGAAGGCTGGAGTTGCCCCCAGGCCCTGACAAAGCTTTTCTTGCCCTGAGCCCCCCACCCCAACACCTGCCAGGGTGGGAAAACGAAGCGAAACTGTGCAAATTTGGGGTGGTTTCCTCTTTCCTTCCTTTCTTTCCCTCCCAGCTCTACCACTGCCTGCGAGGCAAATGCGCCCACAGGAGCCGGGGCTACTCCAGGGAGATCTCCCTGCACCACGGCGGGTTCTGCAGCGGGAGCTTCTCCGACCCCCACGGACACGCCTCCTTCTCCTGCGGTAGGGAAGGCTCGGTCACCTACACCCGGAGACCTTCCTACTGCCCCCGGCCTTCCTACTGCCCTCCTGCGTCGCCCACCTACAGCATTTCGGGGGGCTACACGTGCGGGAGGGAGGGGTCTGTGGTGATAACCGGCGGGGATTGTGGGGGGACGTCCGGCTGGGGCGTGGCGGTGGGGACGGTCCCCGCTTACGGCGCGGGGTGGGGAGGAGGGCACGGCGGAGAGGACTCGGCACACGCCGTGGATTTGGGAGGAGGGTCTGGATATGGGTACCCTGCACCCCAATCACCCCCAGGTGACGCCCTGAGGACAGGGGGTGTCGGTGAGGGGGCAGGGTATTACGGTGGAGGGTCTGGCTACGCCGCCGAGGGCGGTGGGTGCTCCCAGGTGGTGCAGCAGAAGTGCCCCGTGGTGGTTCCCAGCGTCAAGAGCCAGCAGTGCAAACAGAAAAGCCACTGGCCCCCCAGCCAGAAGAAGTGACTGAGACAGCAGCTCCCCCCCCCTTTCTCGAGAAAAAGTGCCCCTGGATGGGCCACAGGGTGGGCTTGTCCATAATGACACGTGTCCCTCACGCGGGGCTGTGCTGGGAGAAGTGGTTTGTGGTTGGTGGCAGGAAAAGATTTTCTCCTCTCCACGCCCCTTCTGGAAAATAAAACTCGGTGGCCTGCGGGCTGTTTTAATATTTGAATGGTTTCTTTTCGTTTCTGGCTCTCCTTCGCCCCAGAGCACGAAGGGACCCTCGAGGAATCTCCGCGACGTTTTTTTTTTTAATTGTGTTTTAGAGCCGCCCTTAAATTGGTTTTGATAGAATTAAAATACAGTGTTTTCACAACAGCAATGGAAGGCTCAGGTGGCAAGAGGACGGTGCCAGAGTTTTCCAGGGGTGCCAGAGACAGAACAAGGAGTGGTGCACATTAATTAAATTTCAGGCAGTTCCACCTCAACATGAGGAAGAACTTCTTGCCATGGACCGTGGAGAAGGCTTGGAATCTCCCTCTCTGGAGACATCCCAGAGCCACCTGGACGCATCCCTGTGATCTCCACAGGTTCCCTTCCAACCCCCCAGCTATTTTGGGATTCTGGGACTGGGTTCTTCATTTGCCTCTTGCCGAAGCTGTTCCCTTCCTCCACAGGGAGCTAAATGAAGGAGATATGCAAAACTCCCGGGGGGTTTTTTCCCCGCTGATTATTATTTACAGCCTGACCTCTGGGAGTGAAAGGTTGTTTACTTGGGAACGGCTCCACTCAGGAGCTCCTCGGCCCAAGGGAGTTGCAGGGGGATGGCGCAACCCGGAGCACGTCAGCCCTGGCGCGTGAGGCAACCCAGAACGAGCTCGTTGGCTTCTGCTCCTCCGTATCCTCCTCCAGGATGGTTTTTGGAGGTGGGATATCAGGCCCCTAAATTAGGCACAGGTTGGGAAGGGGTGGTTCCTCCATGCTGGGGCAGGTTGAGTGAGCATCCAGGGCTGGTGGCGTTTTGCCAAGCGTTTCATCTTCCAGGACTGTGGTCGTTTGACTCATCCCCGTTTTAAAAGTGAGGCATGAAATCACGCTGGTTATTTTTCGCCCTCCTGCTTTCACCCACCCGTGGGGGTTTTTTGGCCCTTCCAGCCCAGAAAAGTTTGCCCTCGTGTTTGGAAAACACCCAAAGGCCCAAATCCTCTCAGCTCTAAACCCGTGTTTGGCACCACAAGAGGGATCCTCCACACTGTAAAATGGGCTAAGAATGTTGTGCAGGGAACATTACACAAGGTTTTTCTCACCAGTCACATTAAAATCCATCCTAAAATTAGGCAGCTTTCCCATTTATTTGCATCTACCTAAATTCCTAAAATCTACCACTTCATTACTGTATTCTGTGATTTTCCCTAATTCCTCTCAGAGCATCAGAAGCAGTGAAAGAACTCCAAAAGCTCCAAAAGAATTCCAAGGGACTTCCAGAAAACCAAACCTGGGGAGGGGGGAAGTTCAAATCTTTGTCTCCATTCAACTAACCGACCAAAACTCACCCAATATTCCAATCCCTCCAAACCCAAAGAAAAGAGAAAACTCTTTTAAAAATCCGTTTCTTATTCCCTGTCCCTCCTGGCCGGCTTTTGGAGGCTTCTACCAAGAGCACACCACGAGTTTGGGTGATATAATAGTTTCACAGACCCACGTGGTCCTTCCAGGCAGGAATGGAGCTGGAGCTGCATCCAGAGCTCACCTCCACCGTCAGGCTGGGAGGAGGCACAGGGCGGCTTTGACGCCCAAGGTTCCCTCCCCGCTCGTTGTGCAACAGGGGCAGGAACGAGGAACGAGTCCTCCCCGTGCTGGCGAGCCCTGATAACGAAGGACTCTCATCCACGAGCGTGCCCGTGCTCGCCAGGGCCGTGGCCCGTCTCGTGGAGCTGTTGGCAAACAGGCTGAGGGGGAAACAGCAACTCGGGAAAGTCTCCAAGTGGCGCCTCTAGACAGAAGAAACTCGAGGGGTTGTTTCAGCGGGAGCCACTCCTGGGGCTTCAGCCATCTCTGCCCAACAAACCCCCCCGTGGTTCCCAGGATGGGGTTCTGATGGAAAAAAGGAGGGAGGGCACTCGATCCCTGCCGAAATTCCACGGTCAAGGTGTTGATGGGAGGGGGAAGAGGAGAAACCGGCCCCGGGTTGCACAGATGATTTCACCGGGGCCAGGGCGAGTTCCCCCAGGGGGTTGCGAGAGCTGCTCTGCACCCAGGTGCCCCCATCCTGCCCCAGGGGACAGCTGGGTGAGATGGGGACAGGTGGTGAGCTCAGCTACGTGGGCCCTCAGCGAGCGTTTTACTCACAGCTTACTCACGGTTTGCACAAGCGGCTCCTGCGGGCACCTCCGTCCCCCTCCCAGCTAAATGAAAAAGATTAAAAATGGGATAGAAACGGAGATTTGCAGAGGGAAATTCCGTCTGGGGGCCTCTTGGGGGCTGACCAGGAAAAATGCTGTGTCAGCAAGAGGGAGATGGCCGCAAATTAGATGTGAAGTGGATGAACACAGGGGGAGACAATCACAGAATCGTGGAATTTTGGGGGTGGTAGGGACCTCTGGAGACCACCCAGTCCAACACCCCCCCAGCCCAAGGCAGGGTCACCCAGAACAGGTGTCCAGGTGGGGTTTGGAATGTCTCCTGAGAGGGAGACTCCACACCCTCCCTGGGCAGCTGGTCCAGGGCTCTCCCACCCTCCACGGAAAGAAGTTCAACCTCACACTGAGTTCTCCTCACGCTCCTCCTCGTGCTGATTTTCCCTCCTCGCGCTGGGGAAGCATTTTTTGGGGCACTTAAAGGTCTAAGCCAAGAACTTCCCAAAATTGGCTGGATCCGCTACTTGGCTTGGCCAGGTCACTGCCCCGTCACGGCTCTCAGAACCGGCCACGGCGGCCACAGGCGCCTCATTATCCTGCTTTTATTGCCCTGGGAAATGACCCTGTGAGAGAAAGGAGATGGAGAGGGGACCCTCACGAGCTTCTGTCTCCTGCAGGTGTCTTGCAGGGGTGAAGTCAACCACGAAGATGTTTTTGGAGGGGGTGTTTTTGGAGGACGTCCTAAGGGCCCGGTTGTTTTCGGCGGCGAGGACCCGAAATTGGAGCCTCTTGTCCAAGAAGCCCCAAGAGCCCAAACCAACCAGAGAGAGGACTGGGCCCCGTGGCCTCTCCTTCCTGCCACACTCCAGGTGAGAGGTTTCAGGAGGATACAGAACCCAAAAAAAAAAGAGGCGCCACCTTTGCCACCCGTTTTGCAACCTAAAACTCATCCGGCCCTGACGGTGAGACAGCCGACCCACCCACGGGGTTTTCACTGCTGGGCATTACAACCTGCAAGGGGCCCAAGGGTGGCAATTAAAGCTGTGTAATGAGGAAGACACAATCCACACGGGATGACAAGTCAATCGCAGAAATCGGGTTGAATAAGCTTTTGATGGTGGTGGTTAATTAGGGGGGGGTGTGGCTGTTTTGTAAATACCTCGGTCATCTTTCCCCGAGGGGGTGATTGCATTTTTCAGGAAGAGACTTGGGGAACTGTATAAAAGTCCTGGGATGGGAGGGCAGCTCATTCACTCAGCTCCACTCCTTCTCCAGAAGCCTTCACAGCCGAGGTAAGTCGCTGCTCAACCGCTAACTTTTAATTCTGACTCAAATTAGGGCTGCGCTGAGAGCTGGGCTTTGCCCTTAGGAAGATGCTTCTGGTGGTATTTTCTGGGATGGATTGAGAGCCAAGCCCTTGGCTCTGTGGCTGGGGCCGTTTCGTGCTCTCAAAAAAAATCAGGACTTCCTACTCCCAGAAGCAAAATTTATTGTTCTTATCACCTGTAATAATATCGGGATTATTCCAGCACTTTCTAGTTTCCAAACTGGAAGTGAAGAAAAGCAAATAGTGGGATTTGGGAATGAATGGGGAAGCAGGTCTTTCATAAGACCTTGGGTTTAAGTTGGGAATTTTTAATTGCACTTATAAGCCTGACTCCTTTACTAAGCTCCTTAAGCTGAAAGTATTAAGCTGTCCTTGAAGAAATTCAGGAAAGAACAGAAAAAGTGGATTTAAAGTGGGAGAGGAAGGAGCAGCACGAGCAGCTTTCAGCTCAGCCACATCCTGGATGCCTTTTTTTGCCTCCTTGAATATGCCAGAAATCCTGAGGAGGGGGTTGGGATGTGCACTGAGGGTTTCCCTCGGGAAATGGGCCACGGATCCCCAGGGGACAGAGGGACCAGAGGGCACGAGGAAGGCACAGGAGGGTCTTCACTTTCGGGGCACCCGGCTTTGGAAGGGTATTTTGCTGATGCTCCTCTGAATTCCCCAGCTGTGCCAGGGCTCCTCTAGGCTATAGATTCTTGGGATCCTTGCCAAGATGCCTCTTGCTGGTGGAGGATAGCCTGGAATCCCACAGAGCTTCTGTTTCTTCTCAGTTACAGGGCCCTGAGACCATCCCAGGGGGCAGCGAAGGAGAGTAGGGAAATATCCTGAGGGAGAGCAGGGAATCAGCTCCAGGGAGAGCAGGGAATCAGCTCCAGGGAGAGCAGGGAAGTGGCTCAAGGAAGAGCAGGGAATCAGCTCAAGGGACAACAGGGAATCAACTCAAGGGAGAGCAGGAATTCAGCTCAAGGAAGAACAGGGAATCAGCTCAAGGAAGAGCAGGGAATCAGCTCATGGAGCCCAGCAGCAACGGGGTTCAGGGCTCCTGTGGGAGCTCAGGAGGTTGTTCAGCTGGTCCTGGTTGATTCAGTACTGGAATGAAGCACCAGCTTGGGAGGGGAACAGGATGGGCAGAAAGGCAAATCCAAAACCCGACCCCGCACTGGAGCGGCCAAAGCACTTCACGCCTCTAACAACAAACCTCTCTCCTTCCCAAGGTTTGCCCAGCCAATTCCCTCCTGAAAAAAAAAAAAAAGATGTGCTCCCGTGAGAACAGAGGCTGCCACAGCTCCGAGAGCTCCTGCCACGGCGGGGGCTCCTCCTGCCACGACGGCGACCGG